GGTTAGTTATCATACTGAAGTTAATCTCTGGATAGTCATTCACGGGGACGTAGACCTTCTCCTGGGTCTTGGTCGGGCGTCTGTAGTCAGAAGGCGGGTTGTAGTTAGGGATGGTCTTGATGGCCTTCTCGACCAGTTTATGACGTTCATCTTCGAGACGCTTGCGGTAGCGGTACTCGCGAGTGTTCACACGTCTTCCGAAGTTGTCGTACTGGGGAGGTGGCGAGGGAGATCTGTTATCAAAGTCAGTATATAAGGAAGCACAAAATAACAAAGGACGATAACACATACCTGTCACCATCGGCGGGGACCACATCGTTGATCCGAAGCTTCTGGCTAATTTCCTCAATACGAAGGTGAAGTGTGTAAGCTTCAAGCTGCTCGCTGGTAAAGTTCGCCATGATCATAGTGGGCAAGCCCATAAGACCGGCAGCCTTATTCTCTTGTTGGTCACCCCAACGGTTGCGCTTCTTGCGTCTCTTGCCATCGCCATCAGTGTTCAGGGGAGCTGGATCGGCTTTGAAATAGAAGTCAGTATTAACTTGATTTCGGATAGTTCATTTTATAAGCAAAGGAAACATACCTCGAACAGGGCTACGGCCACGCTTTGGACCATCGGGGCCCATAGACGAAGAGGGCATAGAAGGGGGGTCGCAGTGCGACTTTCATCCTCTCCTTCCTCGCCGCCCATGCGTCGCCGGCCAAGCGGGATGTTGTTGGAGCCAGTTATTCCTTGGTTGCGCCAAGCCATGACTGCTGCTTTGGATAAGAAAAAAGTAAGTAGTTAGTGATATGGATGGAAGAGATGAAAGAAGGCATGTTCAGAGAGGCGAGCATCAGCACGTGACTATAACAAAAACTTATTTAGTAGGCGGTGGCTATTCTCGGATTTACGTATACCCTCGGATATACTTATATCCGAAGATTATGAGGCGGGGGAGGCTTTACGGACTATTGTTATTCCGTACCTACTTACGTTGTATCTAGCTTTGAGGGTAGACAGAATGCATCATCCTTACTATACCATAGCTTCGTACCATATAGTATGGTCGGTTACGTTTTCGCCTCTCTTCTTCTTTTGGCGATTGCTCGACTTGGTGAATTCTTCTACGACTCCTACCGAGAGTGAACAACCGAACTACATATACCACGACAGCTCAAGCTAATGCATGCACGCCAGTTTGCTTTTTTTTTTCGGCAGTAATACCAATACCAGCAATTAATATTAATCATTTACCAGTATGTGACTCATACCTCTTCCTGTATTTAATAGATTGTATGCATTTGAAGAAATACGGAATTTAACATCGGTGACATGCATGCATCAGTATGAGTTCTCGCCCAAGTTGCCCTGGTAGGGTACTAATAAAAATTTTAAAAAATGAACTCTATGGGTCTCTTGATTCGAATTCCATCTCAAATTATCTGTCTGCCATTTCAACTGTGATCAAAGTCCTAGCACTTCCTCAGTCACGCTTTATTCAAGCTTTGCGTTTGGAATCGGCCTGCATCCCCTGTTGAATCCAAGCCCTAGACTCGGCAGCCATTTTCTCCGTGGCCTCCTTGTCCTTGATGAGCTCTTTAATAGTATGAGGGGAAGGAACATGACGACCTTTCTCAACACCCGGTCGCTGTAGCATAAGCTCCTCCCAAGCCTTGACATTCGGGAAGTCGTCAATCTCGATACCGGCCCATCCTGCAGCGGATACCCACCCCCAGTGTGAGATATCGGCAATAGAGACGTGGTCACCGACAATATAACCAGACTTGGACTCAGCGAGGTGCTTGTCCAAAACACCATACAATCGGCGCGTCTCGTTGACGTATCGGTTCACGCCGTACTCAATGTGCTCTGGCGCGTACCGTGAGAAGTGGTTGGCTTGACCTTGCATAGGTCCTAGGCCTGCATTCTGGAAGTACAGCCAGCTCTTCATCTCGTAGTATTCCCGCGTGCCTTTGGGGAATGAGATCTTGTGATCCGTGTCATACTGTTCTGCCAGGTACTCCAGAATGCTACCAGACTCAAACAGTCGGATATCCTTGCCATCGGTGAAGGTGTCTGTCAAGGCAGGGATGCGGCCATTGGGGTTGATCTTTAGGAACCAGCTATTTGGAGGTTAGTTCTATTTGTTGTGAGTATTTGAAGAGGTGCAAGCACATACTCTTCCTTTTGAGTGTTCTTCGAGATGTCAATCTTCTCGACCTTGTATGGCAGGCTGCAATCTGTTAGTACCAAGCTTTTAAGCGGTCAAGGAAGCTACTGTACCCAAGCTCCTCTAGCGCGATAGAGATCTTGATGCCATTGGGGGTCTGGGCCGTGTATAGGGTAATATTTGGTTGAGACATGTTGACGAAGTAGGGAACGATAGAAATAATCTGAGTGAAAAGCAAATTGAACTGAAGATAGATGGTTTAAGTAGAGGTCATGTTAGTCTTCGGCGGGGCCCGGCAGACCCCCCCCACTTTACGGATTTATAAGCTCGTGGAACTTCCAAGTTCACGGAAGCTGCCAACTCCCCGAAGCTCCGAGTTATAGATTTCAAGGAATAAACCTTCACTTACTAGGGCTAGGTGGTTCTATGGTGCTCTATAATATTGCTGACAATTGTACCCGGTTCATTTCGGACAGGTATTCCAAGCTTTTGACTTCTAAGACTCGCTTTCATTGGCACTGGAATTCTGATCCCTAGGAAAGACCTAGAATGAAGCCGTATCTCATATATGCATAGCTGGACTTATCACGGCATTGATATGTATAATTTCGAGTTCGAGAGAATATCTGAGGTCCCAACAGAAGTCATGAATTATCGTCATACGGTATACACCCATTTGATACCCCAATGCCTGGATTTGGCCTGAATCTAGACCGACTTTTACACGAGGATGTCTGATCTTTCTCTCACTTTTACTTCACAATTGCTTCATTAACGAAAGCAAACATCTTCCACTATACAACCTGCAATAGCAATCCTAGACACAGGTATTCTTAGTTATAGTGACTAGTTAGTTAGTTAACTAGTTAGTTAACGGTACCTAAAATAGTCATATGTTACATTCAGGCAGCAATGCGCGGATTGTTTCAGGTCTAGTGGACAGGTGCCCCCGGGGCCCGGGCCATTACATGCACTTAGTCAACTTTCTTTGTCCTCGTGAAGCATATAAAAAGCTTCATGGCAGTAGGTAGATTCATTACCATCATTGTCATTTTCATCTTTTTCTTTCTCCGTAGAGATGTAGATCTGATCACTTCCATCAATATACATATATCCTGGAAATATACCGAAAAGAACATCTTTCACCCGCAGATAGTATCTCTTATATCATCCCAAGCCAAATGAGGAAAGGGCAGTCGTGGCCTGGCCACTCCAGGCATCAATCGTACCGAATCCATCTACCTGTAGGTGCTTTCCTAAATAATTTTTTTATAATGTCTATTTCGACGGGAAACTCATTCTTCTTTTTTTCATTGCCACTCTTCCACGCTACTCCTGTCAAGGCAACTCGAAGATCATGGCAGCACTTACAACCAACTCAATGACATTCCCTCTCTTCCGATTCCTGCCCCCCGAGCTGCGTATCAATATATGGCATGAAGCACTGCCCAAGAAAGACACACCGGCCTTGTTCTCATACCGACCGGACGCCTGGCGCCGCTTCGCTGCGCCTGCACACCTGACCTAGGAGACAATCTACTGGTTTGAAAGAATGATCATTTTTCAATGGACGCTGCTTGGCATCATCGACACCCAACCGACCTTTAGTGCTGATGAGGATATCAAGGTGCAGCGGAGATGGGAGATCGAGATCCTAGAAGAAGAGGAATTTATCGCAAATTACTACAATTGTACCTTGACTACAAGACTGCGTCTCTGATACAAAGAAAACGCCACTGCACTGAAAGCTCAATCGGGTAAAGCTTTGAGGTGCTCACGTTTTCAACCCCCGCTGGAAATTCCGTTGGTGAATTGTGTTTCATGACATCAGACACATACACTGTAGATGACTAGAGAAAGAGAAACAATGAAAAAAAAAATTTAATACTGCTGCGTGTGAAAAAAACGGCGACCGCGAACAGAGAAAAAAAGAGAAAAAACATCCTCGAAACTAGCCATTGACGTTGGAAGCTAATTTCGAGGATGTTGATGTCAGAAGACCCCGAGCATAATATGTGCCACATTTGGAAGGACTCAGCGCCATAGGTGTCTATAGGGGCACATGGATTTTCCATTTCATAAGATATGGTCAAGAATTGTGGTACAAGTATTAGTACCCAGGTATACTACGGTGCCGGTCTATAGTGAACTGGATTATCAGGCACTCATATAACTTGGGCATCAAAAATCTAGAAGAGTATTAGGTGGAATAGTGACTGATAAGTGCGAAACAAACGCCTGCGGACGAAAAAAGAAGGCAGAGACGATATATTATATACATGCTTCCAAGGTTCAGACGGGAATGATTCCCTTTTTAGACTAGCTCAGAGATTGGGCTTTTTCCAAGGTTCTGATTGGTCTACTCTACTCCATTATGGGTCCTTTCTATACGCGTATCCGTACCCCGATCTATGCATAAACCTAAAAAGTAAAAAAAGATTCTTTCTATAGAATATCCGAAAATCACTTATAAAGACTGTAAATCCCCTGACTTAGATCTCCTCAATCCATAATACCTTCTTTTCTCACGGGCTCGTACAATCGCCCAACATGTCTCAACTCGCGTCTCGTGCCTACAAATTTTGGAACTATACGCCTTCGATACCAGCGGCGGTCATTTTCATGCTGACATTCATTGTCCTAACGGTTCTTACTTTTTGGAAGCTTTTCAAAACCAGGACATGGTTTTGCATATCATTTGCCCTAGGCGGCTTGTGTATGTGAACTCTCTTCCCCTTACAATCTTACTCTTCCGTTCCCTGAATCCCAGACACTAACCTGCGTTATAATAAAGTCGAGATTATAGGCTACATTGGCCGCTGCATTGCACACAATAATACAACTACAATGGGACCGTACATTATCGCCAACATGTTCATTCTTCTCGGTCCTACGCTCTTCGCCGCATCGATCTACATGACCCTGGGTCGAGTCATTCGTCGAGTTCACGGAGAACACCTTTCTGTCATTCGAATCTCACGCCTAACGAAAACGTTTGTCTGGGGCGATGTGTTGTCCTTCATTGTACAGGGAAATTCCTCATCTCTCTCGGTTCTGGGATACCCCCAGTGGGCCAAAGTTTGCGTCATTGCTGGTTTGGCAATTCAACTCATCTCATTCTCCCTTTTCTGGGTAACGGCCATCATTTTCGCAAAGCGTCTTCGTCGGACGCCCACACCCGAGTGCCTCAAGCCTAGTATTCCATGGCAACAATCATTGCATATGCTATATGCTGTCAGTGCTCTCATTTTGGTCCGTTCTGTTTTCCGGATCGTTGAATATGTCATGGACAATGATGGTTATCTTCTTATGCATGAGTGGACAATGTATGTTTTTGACAGCGTGCCGATGGCTGCTGTTATGGTTATATTCTTCATCTGGTATCCTAACCAGATGAGCCTTGATGCCTCCGAGAGAAGCATACCGCTTGCACACAGCTATTCCGAAGTTTGATTTTCTTGTGCTCGAAGCGAGGCGCTACATACTTTTCTTTACTTGGAGTTTTTGGTGTTCGTTTGTTTATAGACTGTTTATCGACTGTTTATCTAGTCTTCTCTTGTTATATAGAACAACTACATTTTTCTACATTTAGCACACGTTCCAACTATTCCTTTCGGACTTTGCCATAGTCAAGCATATTTTCTCTGATAGATATTCAATGTCTCCTGATTGAGAACGCTCCTTAATTTAGGGCCAATTTAGGGTCTCGGACCCATGCCCCACTTTAGCCTCGGATTCGAATACGCGTATAGCTTTTGCCTCTCAAAGTGGAGTGTTATTATCATAGTTCGCATCCACTACCCCGTACCATAAATATCTCTGTCTGGATATGCAGGAATCAACACGGATTGAGCAGTGTAACATTTCAAACTCCTGGGAGGCAGCAATATTCGAGATACATGCCGGATACGCGTATACCGTCTCACTAAGAAACAACCAAGAGACAAGAAGGAGGACATATTAAAAGTATGACTTCTCCGAATCAGAATATGCAGCAAATTATTTCATCCGAGTCTTTCCACCAAAGTGCTGGGTTCAGTAATATGACCGGCCTCTCTCCATCGTTGTGCTCGCCTCAGGCCTTTTCATATCCTCACATACCAGGCGCCGAAGTGCTCTCACTGCAAGCTTCCCAAGTCTCAAATGTGTCCAAGTACATTCCCGAGTGGTACTACTACAACCACGGCGGCGTGTCAGCTCAAAACCTCAACTTCTGCAATGTCACAGTGACCTACAAACACACCGGCAAAAACGACACCATCAACGTTGGTGTCCTTTTACCCAGTGACTCGTGGAATGAACGACTTCAAGGAATCGGAGGAAACGGCTACACAGCTGGCCTCACTAACATAACAGAATTTGGGATGATCGCAGCAGCTGCCGAAGGCTATGTCGCCATTTCAACAGACGGCGGCCACACAACCGACGACCCTGCAGACTGGGGCCTTCTGGAAAACGGAATGCCAAACTATAATACCATGTACAACTTTGGAATTGCTTCTCTCGGCGATGCAGCAATCATCGGAAAGAGCTTGGCAGAAAGTGCATATGGATCAAAACCCAAATATTCCTATTGGACCGGATGCTCGCAAGGCGGCCGACAGGGTCTGGCGCTCGCCCAGCAATATCCCGAAGCATATGATGGGATTGTTGCTTCTGCTCCAGCAATCAATTGGCCACAACTTTCGATGGGAGGATACTGGGCGCAGTTTGTCATGAACCAGCTCGATGAATACCCATACCCCTGCGAGATCAATGCCGTGACAGATGCCGCACTATCTGCGTGTGACAGTACTGACGGTGTTGTGGATGGTGTAATTTCAGACCCGGATTCATGTGTCTTTGATCCGTTCACTTTAGTGGGAACCCAAATCAACTGCAGTGACACTGGATCGCAATTGAAAATCTCGGCTGCTACTGCGAAGATTGTTAATGCTACTTGGACCGGAGCGCGGGACTCACACGGCAACTTCTTGTGGTATGGATTCAATCCCGGGACTGCATTGACAGGAACAAATACACCGGCAAATACAAATTGTGCCAACGGGACATGCACTGCAATCTCCAGCCAACTGTATAATCGATGGGCTCAGGTGTTTATCGAGCACAACCTGAACTTCACCTTGAGGAACATCACGCACCAAAAATACGACCACATTTTCCGAAAGTCTGTCCAGGAATGGAATTTGGTATTTGGAACGAATGACCCAGATCTGTCGAAATTCCGTGACGCTGGTGGCAAGATGCTTACATACCATGGCCTGGTGCGTTTCATATTATCTGTTCGAGAGATACACATATACTAATTTCCGATGCAGATGGACGAGGTGATTCCTCCCAATGGCACGAGGGCATACTACGAAGCGGTAACTGCCGGTGACTCGAGTGTTCATGAGTACTACAAGTTGTTCGAAGCTCCAATGATGGGACACTGCTTTGGTACCAAAGGAGGATATCCTTCGACTATGTTCGACAGCCTTGTTGCTTGGGTCGAGGCTGGCGATGCTCCTACAAGTCTTCCAGTGAGATACTCTCCAGAAGATGGGATGACATACGATAGAATCCTGTGCCCATACCCACAACGAGCGACGTACAAAGGTACTGGAGATGTAACATCTGCCGATGCATTTTATTGTGTGTAAGGGATTGTTTCTGTTGAGTTAGGTCTGGCTTTACTATTGTTATAGCTAGTGAACCGGAGGCGGGAGACTGCGAGCAGGACTTGTTGTGAATAAATGCACTTTTAGTATCTAGATTACGTGAAATACTATCTACCCGTGGACATTGATGGTGAGCCTCGATGCTTAAGTTAAGAATATTTTTGATCAAATCTTGCATTTTGCAGATATGTACAACTCTATAGATACTCATGATGACAGGAAGGTCGCTGCCAGAAGAGAAAGGAAAAATCAATGTATACAAGAAAAGCCAGCTGCAAAGCAAACCGAACATCGAAGTAAAGGATTATACAACAGTATAACCCAACATAAAAAGGCGACAGCGATCATCACAAACACGCTCATACGCGAAAACGACAGCAACATATATCTATCACATATATCAGTCTACCAAGAGAAACTCTCTTCCACATAATCAACACTAGAATGAGCCTGTTTCTTCCGACAAACACGACGAACGTCATCGCTCAAACCGCCATTGCCGCAGACAAGAACTCCCATAGCACCAATCTGATTCTCGACCTCCATACTGACCAATGTATCAATATTAGGACGACCAGGGAACATCTGCACAGTTGCAGAGGGGCTTTGGATCTCCTTTGTGTTGCGCGGCCGCGTAACAAATAGCATGATGCGTAGGACTTCACGGCGGCGATCCATCGCCAAGATACTTGTCATCCAGGGCCGGATCCACTCCAGGTGTTCGGGGGACTGGATGATCCAGACGAGTGTGACGCGGCGGGCGGCGACGGTTCCGTCCGCGAACCCGGCGACCAGGTGGCGGACGAAGGGGACGTGGTGGGTGATACCGACTCCGCCGGCGAAGAGCATCACGGTGCCGTATGAGTCCATGGTGTGGATGTTACCGTATGGGCCCTCGGCGAAGGCGCGGAGGGTAATTTGTGAGCTCATGGAGTTCGAGGCGCGCTGGTAGAGCTTGTCGGTCATTCCTGTGCGGCGACGAACGAGTAGAGAGATTGTCTCTTTTTTAGGCGCGCTGAGGAGGTCTTTGCTTGTGAGTGGGAGGGACTTCTCGTCGGAATTGGTGTCTTGGGTTTCGCTCCAGCCAACGGAGAACGGGTGCGAGGTCCACAAGCCCACTGCTGGGATGTAGAGGTAGATGTGCTGGCCTGGACGGAAGGTCCAGGGACGGGCCATGCGCAGGGTAATGCGCATTGCGTCACCGGGCATGGCCTCGATGGTTGCGGTTGTGGATTCACGGCCGCAGTTGCGGTATACAATGATGAGGAAGCGGGTGCCTCGCTCGAGGGCCCAGAGGATGATGGAGGCAAGCAGATAGGTTTGCGCTACCAGACCGTTGAGATGAACCCAGAGGAAACCCATGGAAACGGCTGCAATGGCAATGTGCAGGTGGAGGAATGTCTCGTAGAATGCATGGCGGATAGGCGAGGGTGAGTGCAGCAAGAGCGCAATGAATGCACAGCCGGCAATCAAGCCGGTCAGCAGGAAGCTGCTTCCACTCAGAGCCATTCCGACAACCTTCCAGCCTTTTTCTTGGGCTTTGGGGATAGCCCAGGCAAAGATGTGTGCAAGACTCTCCAGCACCACGATGCGGCCAAGCCATCGGTGGAGCAGATTCCAAGTATCAAAAGGCACATGGAGCATAGCAATTAGAGGGTTGCTTCGGCCTGCCATCAAGACCAATGGGATCAAGTTGACGGTTGCCATAGTTCCGGTGCGGTTACGAATAACACCAGCAATTGAGTCTGGCTCGGACCCATAAGGAGATGTCACACAGCAGAGCGTGACATTCATGGCGACAACACCCGTGATAAGGAAAGCATGAAAGCGGCTAGGCAAAGTACCCATGTTAATAGCCGATGAGAGCTGGAGTTCTTGATTGTGTCGGCTGCGGAACAACGCGGCGTAGATGATATGTTCCTTGATCCAGGCAAAAGTATTGTGCGTAGAGACGAAGTACCGTTGGCGGTCATCGCTGAAACTTGCCAGGCGTCGAAGATGGCGAGAGAAGCGGAAGACGAGCTGCCAGATGTAATACAAGGCAGCAGCACAGCCAAGGGCGAGAATTGTATAGCGTGCCAGATCATCGTTGACGGCTTCGTAGTAAACAGAGTAACCACCACCTCGTTTTCCGATGTGTTCAATATCCGTTGCCCTGGCCAGTCCGGCGAGGGACATCGCCAGCAGAAAGGAGTGCATGATGACCCACTAAAGATGCTGCACGTCGAGTGCTTAGGATTGAACTTGGTGTATTGTTTAGCGAGGCCAGCTCGCTGGAAAAGACTGTGTTGAAAAGGAGATCGTTGATATCTGGACCGATGCCACAGAAGGCTCGGGAGATATTGTCGAGGAGTAAAACAGCAAACGAAACAACCCCAGATTAGCTTGGTCAAACGACTGAAGCAAGGATTGAAGGAATTCCGTTTAGGGTTTTCTGTTGGGTGGCTGGTGTCAAGTAAAGGACCTGCCTAGATCTAATGTATAGAAATCAGAGGGAAAGCATGAAATAAAAGCCGTTTGTCGATATTTATCAGTCCAATGGGGCGCAGCGAGAAGCAAAAATGTTCACAAAACAGCGGGCGATGTTTGTTAAAGGCTGTTGTCGGCGGGCAACGAAAGGAATGCTCTAGCAAGTGATCCAGTCACTGCAAAAAAAAAAAAATGCTAAAGATGGAAATTTGCCCACGGCGACACAATGAAGACTGTCTCAAAAACAAAGATGAAAGAAAATGAGACAATGTTGATTGTGTTATAAATCAAAGAACAGTCAACAATGAAAAATCGAAAATAGAAGAAAGGACTGTTTCTCCTTGTGTCCAGTCCAGTGGATGGAGTATGAGACAGGGGGCCGGACCAATATGTAGAATTCCAGCAAGGCTCTCCACCTCCAGCACGGCCCGTATCATGTGGAATTCGGTCATTTCGATTTTGATTTCCGAGACTTTTCTCTTCTTCGAAAGAGGGGCTTAGCGCTGGGACCACAGATCGGTGCAAGGGAGTTTTCATGTGCGTATGGAGTATGAGAGCAGACGATCCCGCAGATCCATTGTAGCGAATCAGGGGCTGCTATTCACAGATAGCCTCAGCACATATTGGCAGAATCTGGACCTGGAACATGCGACAGGTCGAGTCCGAGTTATCCTAAAGTGGCGGGAATACCGATCAAGGACTGTGAGTGGTCAGCACTGAAACAGTGAAACAGCCAGTGGACAGGAAGAGTTTGACAAGGATCAACAAACGCCACACAGTCCCCGACATAGATCCGCATCAAATGCTTGGCCTACGACTGGTTGTTTGAGAAAAGGGCCTTTGCTTCATCGATGAGCCAATCTGCAGTTGGGAGTGGGGAAAATGAGGGTTTGTGGAGTCACGTTTTCATATTCGACGGGGGTTCTTAGCGCCTATGTCAGCTTATCACACACCAAAGCGAACGGAGTAACCCACTTTAGGGGTTGTGAAACAGTCCGGTCATAGGCTATTGCTCCAGTCATCACTGTAAAAGCTCAACTCCGTCTTCAGGGGTTGTTTACTTGGCGCGGATTTCATTTATATCAGACCTTAATCTCCTCTCACGGAGAATTCCCTTCCGAAAGTCCTTGGCCCTCTGGACTTGAAATGATTATTCTTGCCATTGGTCCTAGATTCCGTAGTGGCACACTGAAACGAGAAAATATGTATAATCCGATTTCTTAAACCTTGATCGCATGCCAGTCTATCTTCTATATCATTCAAGGCCATCGGTGTTGTCGTCGGAGTTTCGTCGGTGTGCCATTGCACTTTATCTGTCCCAGATAAAGTGCACATATAACCTTACTTCCAAGTTGTCTCGAGGCAAATGTCCAATCTGAGGTCTTTCCATTGGTACTGTGAGCTCCAAAGGCTAATCCAAAGTTGAAAAACAAAAAACCGTAGAGGTTTTGAACACAGTAAAAACACCAATCCAAGGCCATGGGTATCAAAACAAAAATCCTAAAACACCGAATTCCCAAAAAAAAGCGGACCCATATCCACCGTTCCGTCCAAAAAAATGAAATAAACCAAGATCTAACAGTCAAGATCAACCATGTACGGACCTCGGGAGATCCGTTTGCATGTAAAATGGGATAAACACCCAAGAACCATAATTGAGGAGATCCTGGGGGTATATCCGACATTCCGCCGGCGCAGGCAAACTGTTACAGTCTCAACTCAACTAGAGCCAATCCGGAGCCCCGCTCAGAAAAAGCTGAGCTCGTCGTCACTGTCATCATCCTGGTAACAAGGAATGACTCTTTGTCGAGGAGTTGGCTCAACAATACGACGCATGGTTGAGACTGAAGGGCGCGTAGACCTTCGCCTCTCTACCGTGCGATGAACCTGCTTCGCAGCACGCTCCAAGGTGGGCCGGACGGTAGGCTGACACGGGCTGCTTTCTCTGTGATTAATGATCACGACTTCAACCTTCCGTGCCTGTTGTGTTGCGGGGGTCATCCGTCTGGTCAGATTAGTGCTGCGCTCTAGCAGGATGTCTCGGCGAGTGACTGGTTCCACAGTAGAATTGTATCTAGTGGGGGTAGTAGAGCGTGTTTGCGGACTGTTTGCACCCCTGTCAACTACAATCACCGGGGTGGGCCGTTGTCGTTTTCTAGGCCGTATGGATGAGGCCTCGGCGTCCTCGAAAGTTCGCTTGGTCGCCATCGGCGGGGGAGATGAGGTCAGACTTGAAACAGAGTGCTGGAAGCGGTCAGATCCACGGGAGCTGCTGTCTGTGTCTGTAGAGGAAGCCTTGCAGGGCACTGGGCTTGATAGCATGCGCATGGGTCTTTGGGCCTTCTGCACTAGGATGGGTTTTCCCTTGGCCGCGGGCGTAGATGCCACCCACTCGCCTATGCTATCTTCCCAGCGGAACAGGCCTGTAGTTTGAATAGATTCCTCGGGTTCTACTGAAGACTTTTGGGCAGTCTCTTCCTGGCGCTGTCTTCTGACAGCTGCCTCTTGGACGTCGACGGCCCACATGTGATCATCAGGATCCCCTGTGGCTTCTGCAAACTCCATGGCAGCTTCTGCCGCCACTCGTCCAAGAAAGGCAGACAAGGCTGGTGTGTAGGCCAAACGGGCAAGTTGCGAAATCATGTCACGTATTTCGCCGCTAGTATGTTCAGTTTCATCTTCTGCACTTTTTCTGAGGCAGCGAAACGCTTGGTGCACAAACAATGCTAATTCTCTAGCCATGTCTGAATGAGATGCTATAATTTCTGCACATTCATCAACACTGGCTGTTGACGCCATCACATGGTGGTTATTGGCCGATAAAATTTTGTCGTTGCACTGTACAAGGCTGGTGGCTAGCAAGATGCAGCCACGCCGTAACAATTGATGAGGGGTGTTATCAGGGCGCTGCGCGGAGGAATTTGATTCCAGTTCTCGCTGCAGAGCGATATGAAGATAGCTTGTAATATAGCTCGCCTTCGTTCCATCCGCACAATTAGTGTCATCGGATGCACGAGACCGTGAAATGTGCATGCCACAGAGCGCTGCCATGAGGCTTATGACGTGATTGCTCAATGCATCTTCCACCTGTAAGGGGCAAGGCCGCGCAAGATTTGAGATTTCCCACGCTGAGGTGGAGGCAACCCTGGTCGCACGAGCACGAGAAGTCTTTCCCTTTGAGGGGAACTTGGGTGTAGAACTCTGAGCAGCGGTGACAGGGTAGACATCACTGGCCGAGAGAATCACAGCTTCAATCAACCGCGTGGCCGCAGGACAGTCTTCATCCTCTTTCGAGAGGGATATCGTTGCTCGTGTCATCCAGCTAGTCCATAACTTGGTTCCCATCCATTCCGGAGGTAGCACCCCCGCAAGAGAAGCTTTGCAAGTTCATCGAAGATATAAGAGCGATTGACAACGCCGTGATGAGCATATTTTCGTAACAATCGGATCGGATCCGAAGGGTCATGGCCAACCATTGGCCTTAAAGCCTGGGGGTATGGGTAATTTTTGCGTGTGGAAAGCAATGTAGAGAGTAACGAGTCACTTTCTTCGGGCGCAAAAGAACGACATTTCTCAATCAGTGCGCAAGCAATCGAATCTGTTATCCAATGATTCTGTATCAGGGTAGAAACCAAGTAGATACCCTGTGCGCGGACAGCCTCGCGGAGTGGCTTCCAACCTGTCCCATAAGGCGCATAAAATGCTTCCAACTCTGTAAAATATGCATCGCACATATCTTCATCCCCGTTCTCGTCCAACTCATCCTGTGCTTCTTGCTCGTTCGCGATAAATTCAGGCAGACTGCGCGCCACCATGGACAGCAAGGATCGTGCACCACGCCTGCTGCTTTCGGATAAAGGTTTCACTTCTCGCTTGGATATCACAGTGTTGCAAAGAAAATTTTGGAAGACGCGATCAAGGTTGTGTGCTATGTCGGCGAAGCCCGGATCACCAGACTGGTCGAGAAGCTCTTGCCAAGGGCTCTTGTGGAGCGAATATCGATCACGGAAGACTAGTGGCTGTGATTTTTGGATATTGCGGTTGAATTGGCCTTCTGGGGGTTCTGACTGTGCACTCGGGGGCATCTCCCATCTCCTCCCAGTGATGAGTGGTGTCGCGACCTCAATGGCGCCAGGCAGGGTGCATAAAACCTCCGCGCTATGTGTTGATAGTCTATTGCGCCTTTTCCCTCCAGTCTCCTCTGTTTTGGACGAATATTTATGTCTGGGTCGGCGTCGCTCGGGCTTTTTCCCTGGAATCCAAGCTGGGTCGTTTTCATCAGGATCCGCATCCGAGCCTGCGCAGTTGTGCCGGGTTTCTGGTTTGTGGTCGGCTTCCAAAGTGGGCACATCACTGCCCTCTGCGGTTTCTTGTGGTTTAGACTCGGTCGCGATTATCGACTGCGTTTCTTTGTGCTTTGCGATTCGACGGCAGATGGAGGTCAAGGGGCGCAGGACACGGTTTGCCCATTTTGCAGTGGCTTGGATGTCCTCCATTGAGGACAAAAGGGATAATAATATCTGCTAATAGCATGCAACTATCAAGAGAATCAGCACTGTCATAACTTTTCTCTTGGTCATTGGGGTCGCACTGTATCTCGCCGTACTAACAACCCCTTCAATGATGCATGATAGGAACAATGATAGCACTCAATCAGATATTGCCAATAATGCAATAATCCAATGTAAATAAGATATGTCGAGGAATTAAAGGGCGTGTTGAGTGGAAATTGAATGACAACATTGCGCGGCAAACAAAGAAAACAAACATTGACTAATGCGGTAAAGCGGGTCAACACATATTGCCTATTGTGGCGATCATAGTCTCTCTGGTACAATGTATATAGTTAAGTTCTTGAGGGTATTGAATTTCAAATATTTGCATATGAACTTAATGGATTCTACCCAGAAAGAGAAAATGACCCAAGTGGCAGATCCGCATAATGCACCAGATATGAGCCCATATAAGACAACCGAGTCCTTTCCATGCACGGTCCGAGAGACAACCCAACCTGGCAGATGAAACCAAAAATGAAAAAAAAAACATAAGAGAGAGGAGAGAGATCTAAAATACAACAGTTCTTTTCGCTCATCAAGCCTGCCCACCGATCCCCAAAATGACAATGTATATAGATATTAACACATGTAATAACCAAGAAAATAAGAACGGGAACCAATGTCTAAATTGGTTGAAACTGGCTGGCTAGTAAATCATTTATGCCTTGTTAGACTGCTTGGAGCCACGAAGCTTGGGGTTGCTGGTGGCGGCACGCTTCTTCTGCTTAGAGCGCGAAGAGCTGGCGTCGCTACCTTCGATGAACTTCAGGAGCTCATCGATGCTGCGAGAGTCGAGACCGGAGGGGTCGGCAGGGGCGGTGATTTCAGGCGCAGACTGGCCAACCTGGGGCTGAACGCGGGTGCCCATGGAAGACACGCGAGGGTTCAGGGGGTTGCGGCGCAGACGACGAGCCTGGATGTCCTTAGCGTGCTTTGCGATAGAGACAGCATTCTGAGTGAGCTGCTCGAGCCAGTTCTCCGCCTCCTTAGTGTTGCGGTCTTCGGGTCCAAGCTGAGCGAGGAAGATGTTGTATGCCTCACGCATCTTGCCGACGGCAGCCTTGGAGTCCTGGTCCAAAGCGAGAGCCTGAGCGAGCTGGAAAAGAATGGTGGCGGTGTTGATGGAGTCCTTGCCGAACAGGTCCTCACAGATGGAGAGAGAGGCCTCGAACCACTGGCGGGAGTCGTTGTACTGCTTGAGGTGTTGCAGCATCACGGCGGCGTTGTTCATCGTGGTGATAGAGTCGGGGTGGTTAGGACCGTAGATGATCTTCCAAACATCCATGGCGTGCTTAATGTAAACCAGAGCGGTCTTGGTGTTGCCAGAGGCATGCTCGAACAGACTCAGGTTGAGGTAGCTCAGAATAGTGTCGGCTGAATCGACACCCATAGTGCGCTCGGTGACAATGACGGCCTTGCGGGCCAATTCCACGGCAGCCTCCTTCTCATCAGTCTGGTAGTACAGCATGGAAAGCTGGTGGTAGAGCTTGGCGACCTCGGGGTGCAGGATACCGTAGATCTGCTCGTGCAAAGACAGAGACTCGAGGATGAGCTCCTGGCCCAACTGCTTCTGGTTCTGCATGAGAGAGATACGACCGGCCTCCAGGGCCTCCTCTGCCAATGCGCTGCGGGGAGAGGCATCACGAACCAAAGGAACGACATTCAGGATGTCATCAGCAGTGAAAGTGACAGCGGGCTTAGCCGGTGCCGGGGCAGCGCGGGTAGGGGACTTGTTGTCGCCGCCCTTCTTCTTGCCCTTCTTCTTGGGCTCTTCTTGGGTAGAGCCGTTGGTGACAGGAACAACAACCTGCTCCTTGACCTGAGCCTTGGTGAAGGCGAAGTCACGGGCACCGAGCTGGAGACCCAACTTGATGGAGATGTCACGCAGAAGCTGCAAGTGTCTCAGAGAGCTGGACCAGTCCTTCTCGAGGGAGAAGCGGAAGCGGATGGTGACCTGCTTCTCAAGCTCGGCCCGGAGGGACTCGGGGGTGACCTTCTCGAAAGAGAAATCGCCCTCGGGGAAGATTGCACGCAGAGATGCGTCAATCTCCGCCTGAGGAGTAGCGTTGACATCTGAGCCGAGGAGGCAGTTCAGCAAGTGAGAAAGGCAAGGGGCGACGAAAGGAGCGGGAACGTTGTTCAAGTAGCGGTTAGCAACGTGCTTGAAGGCACGAGTGATCATTTCCTGAACCACGAGAATGGACAGGGCCTGCAGGCGAGGTCCCTTCTCAGCTGACTGCTGAGCCAACTTTCCGAGGTAACGGAGGTTGATACCGCGCTTGTGCAACAGCTGGGTCAGCGATTGACCGTCCATGGGGAAGCCAACGTCGCCATCGTGCAAGTCCTTGAGCAGGTCGGGGATGACCTTGGATCGCAGGTGATCACAGGCCTCCCGGACTTCCTGCTCATCCTTTGCCCATTGCTCCTTCTCCTCCTCAGTCTGGGGCACCTGGCCGCTGAAAACATCGGGGTTGAGAGCAAGGTTGAATCCAGAGATGTCAACACGCTCCTGATCCGCCTTCTCTGCCTTCTCCGCGGCCTTCTCCTCCTCGGTCTTATCCTCCTCAGCCTTACCCTCCTCGGCCTTGCCCTCCTCCTTGGCGGCCTCGGCGCTAGCAGCCTTACGACTCTCTACCTCGGCCTTCACGTACTGGCTCATCTTGTGGCGCCAGTAGGACTCGACCAGCTCAAGTCTGAGAACAGACATGCGGTGGGGGTAAACATCGCTACCCTCCTCTTCCTGCCACGCGGCATCCATGGGAGCCACACGGTAGAGATCCAGGACGTACTTCCTGCCGTCAGTACCCAAAAGGCCCTTGGTCTCGACGCTACCTTCCAAATCGTGGCGCTTGTTCTCCTTGTCCCAGACAGGGTGCTGCTTGACACGAAGCGCCTTCGAGAGCTTCTCGAAGACCGGAACAAAGTCGGCGTGGGTGGCCACAACCTCTTTGCCCTCAACACCACCGTAGTCAATCTGGTGCTCACCGGGCTCACGCTGCTTGAAGATACCAGGAACAATGCTCTGGCCAACGATACGCTTACCCAGGTAATCGACCACCACGGTTCCGGGGGTGAACAGTCCATCGATGTCAAGCTGGTTAACAGCCTTGATGCCAAGAACGTCCTTACCCACGGCCACGCGTGCAGCTTCGTCACCACCCTCGGAGGTGAAAGTCCCAACGCCATCGGCACCGAAGGAGTAGAAGATGTTGTTGTAGACAAAGATCTGGGCGTCCCGCGCCTCAGTGGGGTTTAGAGGAGCGACCTCACCCCGGGCAACCAGGACTGCACCGCGAGCGGCGGCCTCATTATAATCAGCGAACAGCTTGGAGGTCAAACGTTCCCGGAACACGCGATCCTGGACGGTCTCGCGGGGCAGCTCGCGGGTAGTCTGGAACTCCTCGTTCCAGTCACGTAGAGTCTCGGCGTTATCAACACCAGAGATCAGGTAGTTCTCCTGCGAACGGGTGATATCGGGCTGGTGGGCATTCAAGCTCGAAGTGCTGGGGGCGATGAGCCATGGGCTGTTGGGAATAGCGTTCTGGAAGGGGAAGGTGGTCAAAAGATCCTTCTCATTGTTGTACTCCTGCAGAGCCTCGAAGGAGGCGTTGAACGAAGGCGAAAGTTGGGAGATGAGAGTGAGCAGGGAGTGGGCGCTTCCCTTCTTGGGGTGTGTTGGCTTCGGGAATGGGTCGAATCTGATGTTCGAGCACTTGTTCACGAAGAACCCAGACACATGAGCAGTGATCTGGAATATTTCACCTTCGTTAGTAGCAACCACAAGGTAAAGCAAGTGGCCCTTCTGGCGGAGGTTGTACGGAACGGGGTTCCATGAAGACAACGAGATGGACTTCACTGTCTTGGGCAGAGGAGCCTGTTCGGTGGGCAGAATAGTCTGCAGCGATGAAACTCCAGTCAGGTCATATTTGGAGAGCGAGTGCTCCTTCTCGGACTCGCTGGCCTTGATAGCGTCTGCCGTAATAGTATCGTGCAGAGACAGGCCAGCGGAGATACCATGAAGGTTATCAACACGGTCACCGGAAGCACCAATTAGCTCCCTGATGCGCACAACATGCATGCGGGCCTCCTTCTCGGTGTAGGGATCTTCGACCAGGACGATCTCGGAGTCGGCCTCGAGGTCGGGGACCTCAGATAGCTCGACGAAGTCGTTGATGCGGTTGCCGTTGAACTCGAGGTGGAAGCAAGTGTATTGGAAGGTACCCGGGAGCTCGACAATAGATTGGCGGACATCCTGGACCTGTTCTTGGCTGGAGACCTAGAGAAACAAATCGGGTCAGATAATTTTTTCCTCGCTGTGGCCTTTCAAAACATCGAACCCACCATCACTTGAATCTTATGCGGCGCATGAGGGAGCTTCACGGAGATCTGGAAAAGACCTGTAGTCAAGTTAGAACACTGCCATGCAGTTCTGCGTCCGGTTGTCCAACATACCACCCGTGTTGTCCTCCTCTGTGCCCTCGGGAGCATTGCCATTGACAATCTCTTGAGAAGCTTGGGGAGCCTCTGTTCCTCCGTTAGCTTGTGTGCCCTGCATCTTGATTTACCTGGAACCCATGCTGTATCCCAATGGACCTTGCCCAGCATTAAGGTTCCAGGGCCAACACACACCTTTCGAGTGCTCCAACTCCCCATTGGTCTGTGCCATTATGTCGAGCCGGTTATTAAAAGAGCTTCGACGAAGTAATAACAGTAAACCCCTATCTCACAACCGTCACGGTGAGAAACAAAAGTTCGGGAAAGTGGAACGGGAAAGAAAAAAAAAAAGTTTGACCTGCGGGGATTCGGCAGGTAGAAATTTTAGTATAGTATACAAAAGAGTAATTGAGCAAGAAACGAAAACCCCGTACCCCAGGTTGAAAAAAAGAGCAAGGATGAATGGATAGGTGAAACTGGGAAACCGGAGAGAAAATTTCTCGGAT